CTCATTAATCAACTGCATAAATACAGCTGGGGCCCCCTGTAGTCCAAATGGCATGACTTTGAACTGATAGCTCCCCATAGGACAGTTGAAGGCAGTTTTCCACTCGTCTCCCTCTTTTATTCTCACCCGGTAGTATGCCTCTCTTAGGTCTAACTTAGTGAAGACACTCCCCTTAGCCAGATGGGTCAATAAATCCTTTAGGAGGGGGAGGGGGTATTTATTTTCCACACTTACAGCATTGAGTCCCTTGTAGTCTACGCAGAGACGAAGAGACCCATCTTTTTTCTCTTTGAACAACACAGGGGCTCCCATGGAAGATTTGGCCCATTCAATAAACCCCCTCACTAGGTTTTTGTTCACATATTGCTGCATCTCCTCCATTTCGAGGGGGGATATAGCATACATCCTCGGACGTGGGAGTTTGGCTCCGGGCACCAGTTCGATGGAGCAGTCATTGGGTCTGTGAGGGGGTAGGGCATCACATTCTTTTTCACTGAACACCTCCACCAGGTCCAAGTATTCTTTGGGGATGACTGGTTCGCCTGGAGTCAGTGAGGCAGCCATGTGCGCTCGCTCATTGGGTGGCCTAAGATGCCCAGTAACATCTGTTGAATCAATGGGGGGATCAGGCCCTATAGGTAGTCTCACAATTCTCATTCCTTTCTCCCACCAGATAAACGGCTTCCATTTGTCCAACCAGGCTAGTCCTAGGATCACTGCCTCGGTCATTTTTGGAGCCACCAGGAAACGAATAAACTCCCAGTGTGCACCTATTTCTAGGCGTAAAGGCTCAGTTAATTGTGTAATAAGAGTCCCTCCCATCAGGGAGCCATCGGCTTGCTCAAATCTCATCGGTTTGGAAAGCTGTTTTGCCCTTATGCCCATTTTCATGGCAAACGCCAGACTAATAATGCAGTGGGTGCATCCCGAATCAGTTAGTACGTTTAAGTCTATTTGTGCCCCAGACTTAGGGATTATAAGTTTGGCGGCCAGTGAAAAAGGCAGGATTTGTCGACTCACCATTGGGTCGTTTTCTCCTTCATTGTCGCTATCAAAGAAGGGAAGAGCAGGGGCAGGTCCACCTGGAGTCTTGGTATCCTCCTGTGTGTGGGGTGTAACCTGGGCAACTGGTTCTTGCGTGAGTCGATTGGATTTTTCTCTCGTTAGCCGCTGAGCAGGTTTCTTTTGCATTGCCGGTCCTGGTTTGCTCTGCAGTTGAGGGTAGGGGACTGGACAGGTGGCCGCTCGATGTCCTCCTTGTCCACACCGGAAACAATCGAAGGAAGGGCGTGCAGGTGGCCTGGGTCTCTCAGCCCTTGCAGTAGTTGAAGGCTTTCGTGGGGGTGATTGCTGTACAGGTAGCTCTGGTTGCTGTTCGGGTTCATGTGGGGGAGGCTTTTTATAGCGAGAGAGCTTAACATCTAGCTTCACGACTGTCTGGTACCACTCCTGCAGCCAATCAGGTATTTCTCGATAGATGCAGGCCTGAGATGCAGGCCTGAGAGAGGTGATCGTCTAATCCCTCAATGTATGAGGGACTGCTCAGGCCACCCCTCTATTCGACCTGCTATCTTGCAGAATTCTCGCACGTACTCCAGGGCAGGCCTCCCAGCTTGTTTTATTTTGTGAATTTGTCCTGCTGCTTTGAGGCCGATGGATGGGTCCTCAGATCTTTCTCTCAGACTTAAAAGAAAGCGGTGGGGATCTTCCAATTTGGGGGCTTGCTCGCTATATAAATGGTTCAGCCATTCAGATGCTTCTCCCTCTAGGTTGGACGCAATAACATCAACCATGGCCCCTGGTTCCGGGTACAGATAGGCCCAGTATTTCAAGTGAAAACGCACTTGGTTGAGAAAAAAAAACAGCTTCTCTGGGTCCCCATCAAAGGTTGCATTGAAGGGTGTTGCAAACACAGGCTGCTGTGACCCCCACTGGGGCTGGTTCCACGGCTGCTGGGCCCTCTGCTGCTGGCCAGCGGGGTTGTAGTGGTCTTCTCTGTTGTTGGATTGCAGGGGGTGGTGATGCCCTCTGCTGCTGCTGATCATTCATCTGCTGGGGAAACCCATCTACCCATTGCTGCAGATGCCTCAGACTGGAACTCAACCTCTCTTCAGGGTTGGGGTCTGTGGCCGGCAAAGGCAGGGTCTGACAGGCTTCCGGCTGGGCTCCCCACTGCTCTTGTGGCCACCCCAGGTGCTGTAGGCCCCAACCTGGCTGCAGATTTATGCCCAGGGGTTGTACGTTTGGGGACTGTGGCCAACCTCCTTGCTGTGGCTGTTCTCCCAACAGCTGCTGATTTCCTGGCTTCTGTACCACCCCAAGACATTGCAAGGCCTCTATTAGCTGTGGTAAGTTCAGAGGACATGGATCAGCCACTTGCTGGGAAACCCACTTTCCCCTTTGCTGCAGAGGATTCAGACTGGGATTCTCTCTCTCAGGGCTGGAGCCCATGGCAGGAACATTTGCAATGGAAGGGCTGTAGGTTTCACTTTGTAGGAACTGATTACTGTTTTTCATTTCTAAGTTTTGAAATCTTTCCAACGACTCACCCATAACTGTGTTATCTGTCCATTCTGCTTCTGAAGTCTTCGCTCTCAGCTGGGAAATCTGCCAAATTTCTCTCTCCCCCGGCTTGCTGGCTGTCGCTTTCCCCCACGGGGAAACTGTTGCAGCCACGGGGCTGGTCTCAGGCAATCTTTCTTTCTCCATAATGAGATCTTCCCCGAAACTTTGCCAACTCCTCTCAGGCATAGAGGCAGCTGATGGAGTTCGGGACCGCAGGTCGTTTGAAAAGAGTGTTGGATTCTGGCATGATGTCACAGGTTCCGACTAATGAAGCACTTCAAAGAACTTTCAGGCATGTTTCCTAAAGTCTTTATTACAGAGCTACAATTTTGCCGGTCACCATCATGGACGTATTGATGCCAGAATCTGACTTCCTCTCGCTGGCATCAATATTTTCTTGCTAAACCCCTCCCTTGTCTTGCAGTCACAAGTCACATTATCCAATTAGTGTGAAGGTCAAAAGTTTACTTCCTCTTTCTTTCCTGGGCTTTCCTCCCCCCCCACTCTAAGCTATGTATTACCAGACAGTTTTGCATATTGTCAAAGCAAGAATATACAGTATTTGCAGCATTGACATGCTGGATGCTTGGGAAATCAAAATTTGGGGCAGAAATTTTGGAAGAGTCTGTCAAATAAAATAAACAATAGCTTAGAACCGTGGTGATAAACCTATGGCACACGTGCCAGAGGTGGCACACAGAGCCATTTCTGTGGGTACATGCGCTGCGGAGAAAAAAACCCAGATCCCACATAAGATGGATTTTCGCTGCCAGACTCTTTAATTTCTTAAAAGTTTACTTGATGCAGAATGCATATCCTTCCCTTTCTGCATCAACTTAAACAGTCTGGTAGCAAAAATCCAATAGTGGGGAAAAAATCCCAGTCTCATGCATGGGGAATATGCACCGCCTGCCTCCCCCTCCCCCCATGCTTCGGGACGGCGCTGCCAGCAGCTTTCACAGGTCCATTAGGCTGGCGCCACCGCCACTCAGAGGCCTGGCCTGCTCAGCACAGAAGAAACAAAACAGCCAGCTAGCAAACTCAAGCAGACATGGTAGAGCATGCCTACCAGACCTGCCTATTTTTTCAAATGGCATTTAACATCCAGTTCGCCAAACTGAACGATACATTCCCACCACTGCCTGGATCTCCCGCAACCCTGCCCAATCAATCAATTAATTTCAACTTCTTGTGGGGAAAAAAAAGATCTCGCGAAGTTGGAATTGATTGATTGAACTTTTTTTTAGTCCCACCTGGTGGCGGAGAAAGTAACGGAGGTCCGTTACTAGAAAGGTGCCACGTGGGTCCGATCGGGGGCAGGAAGCCAGCCACCACTGCCCAACCTACTTCTCACCTGGCTGGCTGGCTGGTACAAAGCCTGACTGCTTTTATTCTCATCCCCACTCAAGTGGCCATCAGCAGCATGCGTGCCTCTGCTCCATCTGAGTTCAAGAAAGTGGAGGTGCAGCAGTAGGATTGCTCACAATAAGAGCGGATGCGTTGCTTGCTCGTTTGCGCTCGCCTTATAGAGAGCAATCCTGTTGCTGCGCCTCCACTTTCTTCAAGTCGGATGGAGCCGAGGTGGCTGTTTGAGTGGGGAGGACAATCTTTGCTGCTGGGCCACACCTGGGCTATGCCCAGCCGCTGCCTCCCAAACTCTACCTTCGCCACTGGGTATGAGCAGTGGCAGATCACTCTGTCCTGGGGGGAAGGCAGCGGTGGCTTAACCCTAACCCCTTCCCTGTCCCCTGCCTCACCTTGCCTCACCCCGCAGGATGAGCCTCCTACCCACCGCCCCACCCACCAGAGACCCCCTGGATCTCCCCCAACCCTGCCCAGCCCCCACAGGCATCCCTCCCCACGAGCAACATCAAGGTGGCCACGCTCATCCTGTCCATGCCCACCCAGTCTGCTGTGACCACTGCAACCGCACCCACCCAGTGAGCCGCGCCCACCTGGCACCCAGCGATAAATAAATTGGTTTTGGGTTGCAGTTTGGGCACTCGGTTTCTAAAAGTTTGCCATCACTGGCCTAGAAAATCTAAACACAGAAGGAACATAAAAGAGCTCCAGAAAAATGAACCATAGTATCACTATAGCAAAGAAATTGGAACAAATTATGGTAACTATACTTAAAAGAAAGTATAATACAGACAAGGTGAAAGACTGTCAATTAAAATACCACTTTTAAGATGTTAGAACAGAGCTCTCAATAGGCTAAAAAAACAATGTACGTGACCACTGTGAAGAACCAGCAATACTGGAATCACAAAATGGCACGATTACAAAGGTAATTAAACTGAATGACAATAAAATAATTATCAATTATAATTATCCTAAGGCTTTGCTCCCATTGGTTTTTTGGTCAAATCTAGAAATACTGTAAACTGCTTTGAATTCTAAATGTTTCATGGAGTCTGTTCTTCAGTACTTACGAAGGTATGTATCTAAAGGTATGCAAGTCTCCAAATCATCAGCTGGAGATAAAAGTTCACAGATGCTTTCAGCCATATGTCCCTCAGGAAATTTGCTTAAGTCTCCACATTTTTTGAGAATTTCTACACAATCTGACCTTCAAGAAAACAAAATGTTTGCACATTATATATGGCAGAGTATTTCAAACTAAAAAGAAAAGCACACAGGTGCACATATAAAAATAATATACAATTTTAAAAACAAATATCAATGAACCTAAGTGTTATACATACAGTATATTCTTACATATGTAACATTGGGTCTCTGTAAAGCACATGAAAGAGATGTTTTGGAATGTATGGAACCGCACAATTTTTTAAAATCCTTCCATAGCTACCATACAAGTCTGAAAAAAGACACAATTAATTAAATGTTAGGAAACAAATTTGTAGGCTTTTCCATGTATTCCAAATCACCTCTTTCTGGAGATTTGCACAGCCCTATATAATATATGTAATTATATAGCATGTGGGACTTCCATCAAAATTATTTTATTTACTTATTAAATTTATTTGCCACCCATCTTGCCTGGTAGCAAAAATTATAGACACAGGGGGATCCAATAACGTCATTTTGAATACAAATATATAGAGATTCTGCCAGTTCTTATTGTACTGATATTTTTCCAATTAAAAACATTTTGGATGAACTCTCAAATTATGAGACCTTTACAGTTCTTGAATTTGTCCCAAAATTATGCTCAGGGTAATTCACCACTAAGCAGACTAGAAGTTTAGCCAAAATATTTTATGTACATTGTACAGAACATTATTTGACTGTCTGCAGGCTTATTCCTCTCCACAATTTCATAGGTTTTAGATCTGCACAGCAGAACCTGACTAGACCCTATCAATTACATAATATATTAGGTTTATACAGTTTACTAAAAAAAATCTGTAAAAAAGTAATTTTGTAGCCATCTTATCTGAAAGTCAAACCTGAACTTGGTTTGATAACCCTGATTTGCACAAACATTTGAAACCAATTGTTGTTTGAATTTCCAAACATATCACATCGTTACTTTTGTACTTTCTTCTACTTGCTCAACTCTCCATCCTATATTTGCAAACAAATTACAAATTAATTTATATTTTTTATTTAAATATAAATAAAATATGCTTTAATAATTAAAAATAATTTTGAATCAGTTCTAGAACAAAATGTTGAAGCTTTATTTGTTGGAAATTAATTCTAATCTCAGCTTTGCTTTCTACTTTCTTCATTTTGTTACTGAAAATACAATTTTTACAATACTACTATCGTTTAATTTTCCTTTTTCTATATGCATATCCAACTGAAAACCTATTAAATTAACTCTCTTCGTGCTATCATCTAAATATTTAAAGAAAAAACTAGAATCAAGAACAAGCATACAGTGCCTTTCTCCAACATTCTCTCAAGATCTCCACACAATCAGCTGAAAATTCTGAAGGACAGCTGCCCTTACATTAGCCTGATGATGAGTACAGACTTCTTACAAGATATGACGTATTAGCATATTTCCCTTATATTTTTCAACTGAAAGTATGAAAGTACATGTAATCCCTTTTGCTATCTAGTCTTAACATTAAGAAAAATACCTGAAAACAGCTATTAAATGCTAAAAATCTACTTACTTGCAAATAATACTTCCTCTAGATTTACTATGACAAGGTTTAATTTGCAGTGAACAAGCAACTGCCTTCCACATTTCTGGTTGGCATTTTTTAATATCAAGTACAGGGATATTTATAAAAGGCATCTTAATGCTTCCTTTTTCCCAAAGTTTCATATCATTCATAGCTCCTTGATCTGACTGGGCATTGCAGCTTCTGAAGAGTTCAGTAGGCCTTCAAGGAAAAAGTCACGCAAAAAGAAGTCAACAATAATTTCACGATATTTAGATAAAGATAATAAAAATTAATAAAGTACATTTTAGATAAAAAGCTGGATTTTGCCTAAAATAAAAAATGGACTGATGTATATTATGAATTAATTATGTGCCATCATGTCATTTTTCAACTTCTAGCAATCAAATAGAGATTTTCTCTATATATTTATATATTTATATCTATTCCTAATCTGCTCTTTCAAGTTTCCTAAAAGTGATTTCATGCTTTACATAATAAAAAGAATTATTGCAATCCAATGCTAAATTTAAAATATTGAGCCCAATTATTTGATTTCAATAATAGAACTGCATTAAAAATGTATAAAGAAAAGCTAGACTTTAGTTTGAAAAGACTTTCAGAAAGAACATATATTAAAATAGGAAATGAAAACATTACCTAGAGGTAAGTTATTTTGAATATTTTATTTTAAAAAAATCAGAAAGAGAAGATAAAAACACAAAGAATTTCATTAGGATCAGAAATGTATATTTCTGGAAACTCATCTAACTAAATGCATACAATTACAGAAGTACAATTATACAATTGTGATACAATCAACATTTAAAGATTCTTAGATTGGAACTTCATAGAGCTATATTAAAGATCAGGCATGTCAAACTCCTGACGTCATGTGACGTATTGCAACTTTTTCCCCATTGCCGGCAAAGGGGTGGGCATGGTTTCGGCATGACATATTTGGCCCGTGGGCTGCAGTTTGACATGCCTGTTATAGATGGTATTACGTTATAGATATTAAAATAGAGAATAACTTAATAGCTGAGGATAATCAAGTAGAAATATTTACAAATATATTTTAGAATAATAAATGTAATTAAAAAATTTAATAATACAACCTGGGAATAAGATTTTAGTAACACAACCCCAAAATCAAAACTATTGCATATAAGAACCGGATTTTAATATCTTATATTAGAGACAATGAATTATTTTTAACTATGAAGATACACATCTATTCAGAAAGCTGATTTTGTGTTTATATATTCTGAAACATAAGCTCACAGCCAGAACAGCCTATTTCTGGCTTGTCTATGCTATAGACAAGATTCAAGTTATTGAGTCTCAAGTTATTTGAATGGACTCCTGTGTGAAAATTAGATTTTCCTTTGTTTTCTCTGACATCCGCATGCATGCATACAAACACAATGTCAGAGCCCATTCCTGTTTCATTTCTATCTATCCCCTCTGACTTAAAAACAAATCTCACCTTTCCCTGGGTTCTGCCATACTCCCAAGGGGGAGGGGGGATGTGCCTGTGGGATTATTGCTTTTGCTTCCTCTATTTGCTACAATGTAACCTTTTGCTTTGTTTATTGCCTCTGTGTCTGCTGCCCACTACAATGTAACAATTTGCTTCCTGTGCTATGTTTTTCTCTGAACTTTATCTTCCTAAACTATCAGTTAGAACAAGGGAGGAAATAAGGAATGTAACCCAGTGCCCGGTTTATTTCTACACTCTTGAGAGAAGGTGCAAAGAATTGCTTAAACATCGCTGTTACAACCAGAGCCGGCCTGATATTATCTCCCCCTTCCCACGATGGACTTAACACCTGGGGATTGGCTGGTTTGAACCATCTGGACGAACTATGGGGTGGGGTTTGCTTGGGGACACTTTAACCTATTGATCTATGCGGGAAAACCTCAGATCCTGTCTAGTATGTTTGCTATCAGCTTCTCCTAATAAAAGTTCCTTTTGGAAGAGCTTGTTTCCATGAGTTCTGCTTTCTTGGGGTGAAGTATTGAGGTGGGCCTTGACAGTGGCACACTCAGAAAATAGCAGTCACTTCCAGGATCACACCATTTGGGGGATGGGAGCAAGAGAATGGCAGGGGAGTGCTGTAGGATTCTTACAGTCAATCGTAAAGGTAAACAACCACTGAGGCAATAACTGTAACTTCAGGACCGGGTCATAAGGGGACTTTCAATTAAGGGAGGATCTGCCATAATTTCAATTGCTAAATAAGAGCTATTTGTAAACTATTCTTTTAGAATAGCTTTAACTTGGTTTTTAGTTACAAGAAAGAGCTCTTGTGTAATGGTCCCATCAGAGCCTGGTTCGGAGGAAAAGGAGTTGGAACCGGAACCATCTAATGAAGATGGCACATCTCCCTTGGAAAAGTTGGAGAGGCCAATGGCTGAGGATGATGTTATCCCAAGCCCCTCAGGCAGTGGGGAAGATAGTCAACCGGATGGAGAGCTGCCTGTCCTCACAGACACAGGGGAGGATCAGCTGCAGACAGGTAGTTGTGCTGATAAGCAGTAGATCACTACTGATGAGGAACAATTGCCTCCCTCACTCAATCCAAGGGGACAAAGAGTAGAGCGGAGGCAAGCTCAAAGCAGGGCTGCGGGGCTACTTAGGAGAAAGTCACCCTGCCCCTCACAAGGAATACTTGGTGTGGGTTAACTTAAGAAGAAACTGGGGTGGGGGCAGTTTCTCTTTGCCAGGAACAATTATTTGTTTTGGCTTACACTCCCCTACTCTAAATCTCTTCTCCCCTACCACATGAAGCTTACGAATATACAATCTCTTGATCTGGGTCTCTTTTTAGGAAAGCACTATGTTGCCAAACTCTCTCCTATTGTTCCTCCAGGTGCACATCCCATCATGTGTTTAATAGTTACCTTGACAGAATAATTTTTGCTTTGGAATTATACTCTAGGGGTAACAGTTGGTTACTAATATCTATATTAGCACTTATATAAATATATATTAAAGATAATAAATGAATGATTTATTTTTGTAATGTTTAATTGTTAATTCAGATTAGATTTTGCTTATTATCAGCCATTAGGATGCTTAGGCTTTAAACAGAAATAAGAATGTGTGTGTGTGTGTGTGTGTGTATGTGTGTGTGTGTGTGTGTTGTAGTTAACAAAACCACTATTTAACCATCCAATTTCATACAAAAAAGATATTCCATCCTATTAAAATATTTAATTTAAAGCACTAACTACAAGTTAACAAGCTCTATGATCTTAATTAGTCAGATCCTGGCTGTTTCCTATGACTGACAAGATCTTAACCCATGCAACAATCATTCTTTTAAGTACAAGGGCAATTCGGAAATAAACCTCCATTTGGTTATCAATGACAGACACTCGCAGATACAGAACTTTTATTATACACATTAGAAAACTACAACATTATTTTTTGACATAATTGCCATTCAAATTGTGGCACTTGTCATAACGTCTTACAAGGTTTGAAATTCCTTCTGCAAAAAAAATCTCTCGCCTAGGAATGAAGCCATCCAGATCCAGAATTAGCAATCATACTTTCTCCAACATACTTATACATTTCAAAACAATATTGTCTAAAAATAGTGAGAAAACCTTTCTTACCTGTTATTAAAATTAGTGCAGAAAGTAAGATTTCTACAGCCAAGCTGACAAGGTTCACGTACATCTGCTAAGCAAGTCAACATGGAAACTTCAATGGGATTATATTCACAAAAACGATCAAATTCTTGCCAGCTTTGTGTATTGCCCCAGCTGCTTGTATAAAGTTTAGTACACACATCTCTAAAAAGAGAGTACAAATATATGCAAAATAAAATAAAAATGAAATATTTTATGTTTAAATATACTTTAGCATATAGTTCATAAGACTTTTTGTCCCAAACATAGAAAGCAAAACATAAGGACTGCAAGAAGTTGTAGACTTTTAATTATGTCCAACCCATTGTTGATGTAATCATTAAAAAGAGTTTGCTAATAATTTTTTGTATAGTTACTGAAATTAGGTTCTACTGGACATACCAAGTCTTACCTGTGAATGCCTAGGACATGCTTGTTGTTGTTAATTGTGAAGTTGTGTCCAACCCATCATGACCCCATGGACAACGTTCCTCCAGGTCTTCCTGTCCTCTACTATCTTCTGGAGTCCATTTAAGTTCACGCCTACTGCTTCAGTGACTCCATCCAGCCACCTCATTCTCTGTCGTCCCCTTCTTCTATTGCCCTCAATCTTTCTCAGCATTAGACCCTTCTCCAATGAGTCCTTCCTTCTCATTAGGTGGCCAAAGGACATGCTTAGAATCATACTATTTTCTTCTTGTGTCTTAAAGAAGACAGTTTCTGTTTCTTCCTGAATTACTGAATATAGCTGATATTTTAAATATTTATATCTTTTTAAAATAAAAACAGACTGTTCTTCACAATTGCCTGACTGCTCATTTCCTCGATAGCAAACTCAGAAGCTAAATGATGAGTTGCCTATCTCGGTTTCATAGTCTAGAAATGGTGCATTTTGGACACAGCGGTATCATATGGGGCTACTTTAATTTGCACTCATGCTTAAGTGCAAATTGATATCCCCCATAGAAATACTGAGACATAGATTGGAGGGGGGGGGAGAGACTTGAAATTAATGAAATTCATGCAGTCTGGAAAGCTGCAACTAACTCAAAAAGAACAAACCAAATAGAAAAGACAGGGATATTAAACTATATATATTCACTTGCACAGAAATTTAGGAATCAAAGTATGGAAATCCTTTTGAAACTTGCTCAAAGGCAAGAAGGCAGGCAGGCAGGCAGGCAGAAAGGAAGGAGATGTAGCCATGGGAATTTATTATACCTTGCTTGGGCACAAATAACTTTTATATAAGGCCTGTCTGCAAGATATTGCCAGTCTTTCAAAGAAATCTGGAATAGTGACAATGGGAGATTTCAATGATTGGGGGTTCTGTTGGGAATCTATCACTGCTGAGTTAAAGGTGCAATAATTTTTTCTCCTTTCTTGTTGACAATCTCATTTGTCAGGAGGTGGATAAAATAACAAAATTTTCAGCTTCAGAGACATTTACTTTATTAGAAGTAATAAATTTAATAAAACAAAAAGCCCACAACTATTCTTTATCAATACTTGTTACAATGCTCTAAATCTGCATGATGGATGGTGGACACTATCCGGTATATACATAAAGATTGTGTGAGTAGCAAAGAAATGCCTGGCATGTCAGGCTAACAACACCTCTTTGACAAAGGCTTTCCACAAAGGGGAACACCATGGGCAACTCACATCTTCAAAAAACAACTTGATTTCATCCAACTACCCAGCAGCAATGGCTAGCAATATACCCAAGTTTCCAGGATCAACTCACTTACTGGATGGAAGCCTTCCCTTGCCACCACACCACTGCTCTAGAAACAGCCAGATACCACCTAAAAGACATAGTTCGGTCTACTTAACACCCTGAATATGGACTGAAGAAAACATTTTGTTTTTCAAGTTATCACCTTCATATTGCAAGCATTAGGAATAAAACAAAACCTTCATGCCCCTTCACACCCCCAATCATCAGGGAAGAGTGGAGAGGGTCAATGGGGAACTAAAAACCTTACTAGGCAAGCTATGTCAGGAAACACATTTATCGTGGCCTTAGGTTCTGCCCATTGCCCTATTATACCTGAGAACCCAACTCCAATAGGACATAGGCATTTCCCCCTTCAAATTACCTTTTGGTAGATACCCTGATATATTGAAAGGCTTAGATCCACATTTTCTTAACTTAGAAAAGGGGGACATGGTTCTGTCTTCTTATCTTTTAGCCATATACAACTTCGAAAGCTATGGAAGCAGAGTGTGTTAATACAGATGCTGCCACTGGAAGAAGCTCTTCACCCATTTGAGTCAGGAGACTGGGTGTGGATTTGGCCCTTCACTTGGAAATCTCGGTTACAAACAAACTGTAACAGTCCCTTCCAAGTCCTGCTTACCAGATTTAAAACTAGTGGAAACAGATATAAAATTAGTGGGAAAGGACTCCTGGATGCACTGGACATGCATAAAATTATTTACAATTGATCTCAGCATCGAGCAGAACACAGCACCAAATGTTTCACTTATCAAACTCACCAAGACCCAGAAATTGATCAGTGGGACTCTTTGAAACTAACAAGAATGGTGAGAACAGACTGAAATGGGAGGAGGCATGTGTCAACACTGCTAACATTGGATGTTCTTGCTCTGACAAAATATGGAGAGCTGTGTGGTATTTTTAGAGTTAACTCAGATGATGCTGGGAGGGGAGGAGAAAGAATGTATGTGGGTAATTATATTAGATAAAAATCCCGTGCTGTAAACGGAAGAGAACTTTTACCCTTCAACCTGATAGGAGAACGTGATTTATGACAGCAGATTGAGGAAGGGAACATGCTGGCAAAATATGTGCTTAGGGGAGGAGAATTTAGATTTTAGCATCCCTCTTCATGCTGTGCTGACATTTTGTTACATGAATAAAAGACCTTTTAGGAAAAACAATGCCTGGAAGTTCTTTAAAGTGTTTCATTAGTCGGAACCTTGACATCATGCTAAGATCTCAACTTTTTTCAAACGACTTGGGGTCCTGAACTCCATTCGCTGTCTCTAGGCTTGAGAGGAGCTGGTAAAGATTCAGGGGAGGGAAATCTATCATAAGAAAAGGAGTTTACTTGAATACCCAGCAGCTGCTGATAACGCAGAGGGGGAAGCAATAGACAGCATGTTGTGGGAAGATGAATTTTGGCAGACAAACGGCTGGCATCCAAATACAGGTCACTGGAGAGCTACCAGGTCATTTGCCACTGAAGATTCGGGTGAGTCACTGGAAAGACTTGAAAAGCTAGAGGTGAGAAGCAGAAATCAGCTCCTGCAGAGAGAAGCCTGCAGCCCCTCCCTTGCAGATCAGAGCCTTTCAGACCCTGTCTTCCCCTGTCACGGACTCCAGCCCTGAAGAAAGAAGGAATCCCAGTCTGAGGCCTCTGCAGCAATGGGGAATTTGGCACCCCCCACAGGTAGATGGTCAGCAGCATCTCAGTTTGCCACAGCTAATAGAAGCCTTACAACAGTTTGGGGTGCAGAAGCCAGGAGATTAACAGCTGATGGGAGGATGACCACAGCAAGAAGATTGGTCACCACCTCCCAATGTACAGCAACCACTGAGGGACTTACAGCAACAGGGGGTGTGGCCACAGCCCCTGAATGTGCAATCCCTGGGTATGAACCAGCAACCAGGATGGAGCCAGCAGCCATAGCTGGGACCCCAACAGGCTATATTTGCACCCCCTTTCAGAGCAACCTTCGATGGGGACCCAGAGAAACTGATTTTCTTCCTCAACCAAGTACGTTCTCATTTGAACCGCTGGGCTTATCTCTACCCAGATCCAGGTGCCATGGTCGACGTAATAGCGTCCAGCCTAGAGGGAAAAGCATCCGAATGGCTGAGCAATTTATATAATGAGCAAGCCCCCAAATTGGAGGACCCACACATCTTCCTCCTAGAGCTGAGAGAAAGATTTGAGAACCCATCTATTGGTCTCCAAGCAGGAGAACAAATCCACAAAATAAAACAAGCCGGCAGGCCTGCCCTGAAGATGTGCGAGAATTTTGCAAGACAGCAGGTCGAATAGAGGGGTGTCCTGAACAATCCCTAATCCATCACTTCATTGAGGGATTAGACGATCACCTCTCTCCAGCCTGCATCTATCGAGCAGTACCTGATCAGCTGCAAGAATGGTACCAGGCAGTGGTGAAGCTCGCCCACTATAAGAAATCTCTCCCCACTTGGGGAACTATCAATTCAAGGTCATGCCATTTGGACTACAGGGGGCCCCAGCCGTATTCATGCGGTTGATTAATGAGGTCCTACATGATCACTTGTACAAAGGGGTTTTGATGTATCTTGATGATATCCTGTTATACAGCACGAATATGACTGATCACATACAGTTGGTGAGAGAAGTGTTAAAGAAACTATTGAATGCCAAGCTTTATGCCAAATTGTCGTAATGTGAATTTCACCAGACCCAATTAGATTATCTTGGCTACAGAATTTCCAATGAGGGCACTGAAATGGATCCAGCCAAGGTGAAAGTTATAATTGAATGGCAGCCCTCAAAAACTCGCAAACAGCTCCAGAACTTTCTAGGTTTCGCCAATTTCTATCGTCAATTCATCCCCTCTTTTGCCGAGATTGCCCTATCCCTTATAGAACTACTCAAAACAGGCAAAAGAGGAGGAAAGCCACGACCGGGCCAACCACTAGCTTGGACGATGGGCTATCAAACAGCTTTTGAGAATTTAAAAGAGACTATTTGCTGCTGAACCAGTACTAAAGCACCCCTGCCCAGGGGAGCCCTTTGTAATTCAAGCCGATCCCAGCGATGTGGCAGTTGGAGCTGTATTACTGCAAAAGAACAAAAGTGGGGTCCTGCAACCCTGTGCCTACACCTCTAAAAAATTTACTGAAAGAGAGCGGAGATGGGCAATCTGGGAGAAAGAGGCCTTCGTAATTAGGTGGGGGCTGTTGAACTGGCGACACTATTTAGAAGGGAGCAAAGTGCCTTTTGAAGTATGGACTGATCACAAAAACCTAGAGGCACTGAAAACTCCCCGCAAATTGTCCCCAAAGCAAGTACAATGGGCACAGTACTTTAACCATTTCAACTTCACTCTAAAGTACATACCGGGAGGAAAAAACTTCCTAGCTGATGCGCTATCGAGATTGCCCCAGTACAAAAGCGAATGCCAAGAGGTTAATGAGGCAATTATCTGCAGTCCACAAACTGCCACTCAACTCACGCCTCACAGAGTCCCTAATCCTGATGACCCTGGGGTAAAGAAAATAAAACAAGAGCTCCTTACCGATCAATGGTTCAAAGATAATCAAACCTCCCTAACGTGCAGGGATGGATTGGCCTACAAAGGGGGGAAACTATATTTGCTGAAGCCCTCCATCTTAATGCTCTCAAACACAGCCATGATGTAAAACAGGCTGGACACTTTGGATATTTAAAAACTGTGGAAAACTATGTAAAAGGTTGTACTGTAGGTGCCACAATGAAAAGAATCCCAGGGAAATCCCCTGGGTTACTGCAGCTGGTAGCATACCCTTCTCAACCATGAGAAGAAATAGCTATGGACTTTATAATAGACCTACCTGAAACTAAAGGAAATACTGTCATATGGACTGTGATAGACCTGTTCTCAAAGCAGGCTCATTTCATCGCCTGCAGAGGACTCCCATCTGCCCAACGACTCACCAAATTGTTCTTGAAACATATCTACTGGCTACATGGTGCCCCTAAGCAAATAATTTCGGACAGGGGGATGCTATTCACAGCAAAGTTTTGGAGGAGTTTTCTTAAATTAATTGGATCATCTCAAGGTTTGTCATCTGCTTTTCATCTGGCTACTAATGGGGCTGCAGAATCCGCTAACAACATGGTGGAGCAATAGCTCAGATGCTACGTTTCCTGCCAACAGACAAACTGGACTGACCTCCTCCCTTTCACGGAGGTGGCGTATAATAATTCTGTGCACAGCAGCACCGGTTACATGCCTTTCAGAGTCGCCATAGGAAAAGAGTTCAGCCAAATACCTGAATACCCTCAGGTGCCCTCCGGTTCCCAGACACTTGGGAAGGAGTTTGGAGAAACATGAAAACTGCTTTAAAAAAGACTTTTGAAATCTATAAAAAGCAGGCTGATAAAAAGAAGGCTCCCCAAAGAACATTCCAAGTTGGGGAAAAGATTTATCTATTGAATAAATATTTACGCCTCCAATTACCCAGTAAGAAGTTAGGACCAAAATTCTTGGAGCCTTTTCCTATCATAAGGATCATCAATCCAGTCACCGTAGAACTAAAACTCCCTAGACTTTTAGGGAGAATTCACCCAGTCTTCTATTGCAGCTTGTTGAAACCTTATCGGGACTCCACTTTAAGACCTCCCCCTAAGAAGGCACCCTGGCCCCTTGTAGTTGTGGGACAAACTCACTATGAAGTGAAACATATTCTTGACTCTAGGATTTTTAAAGGGAAATTGCAGTACCTAGTACAATGGAAGGGATACCCGTTGTCTGAAGCCACCTGGGTGAAATCCAGCAAGGTGAAAGCTGACAGACTCATCAAAAGGTTTCATGTGAAATACCCCAACAAACCGAAAAATAGCCCCTAACATATGCTTTTGTTTACATTCCAGGATCTGTTTTTTTCTAAGGTGGCCCGGATGTCAACACTGCTAACATTGGATGTTCTTGCTCTGACAAAATATGCAGAGCTGTGTGGTATTTTTAGAGTTAACTCAGATGATGCTGGGAGGGGAGGAGAAAGAATGTATGTGGGTAATTATACCCTTCAACCAGATAGGAGAACGTGATTTATGACAGCAGATTGAGGGAGGGA